TTTAAGGCATCATCCTCATTCTATGTTCCTTTGAGCCTGGTCTTCTTTCTTCTTTCTTGATAGAAGAAAGGGAAGGGTATGTTCTTTCTCTTTCATTTAGCCAAAGATGTAGAAGTAAATAGTATTCATTATCCACCTGCATCAACACAATGACTTATGGTGGACCTCAGGTTCTTATGGAGCTGAGGAAATGCATTTGAACACGTGGAGTGACCAATAGGAGCTTGTTTACTTCTTTTTACTAATGTGAGCTCTGTCTGCCCAATCATGGTGTGAGAAACTTTGTGCTACTCAAAATTCAGGGTCAAACTGAAGTGGCAAAATTCCCCAGAAAAAACCAAGAAAGAGCACTATGAGAAGACAGAATAGATGGCAATAGAGTGGGAAGGTTGTCTCTTATTATCATAGAACTTCTGTAGTGTTTCTCTACAGTGTGAGATAACGACACATTAGTTCTTCTTCCTTTCAGAACTTTCTTGCCATAGGCAGGAAAGGTATTTCTTGATCCTTAAGATCACTAGGGATCAAGTTTTTATTTGAAGAGGATAGTAAGCAAGAAGGGGGAGGAGGTGATTGACGGCACTTGAAGCTTTTTCAAGTTGGTTTAAAGAAAGTGATAAGACTTTATTAGCCCAGAAGTATAAAAACTTCTTGTAAATGTCTTTTTTATGTGTAGTCAGAGGATCAGTGGAAAGAGTTGTGGGATTTTGGGGACAATATTATATTCCCCTGATAAATTAATAATAATCTCTATTTATAAAATCATTATCAACAATTTGTCACTATTAATTAATCTGAAAATCAATAAATTGCTAAGTTAAAAAGAAGAAGGGAAAAATCAATTTAGAAAAAGAGAACAATTCAAGATTTACAAAAAAAAAATTCAAAAATAAAAACAACCTCTTCTCAAAAAAGATCTACCTGATTGGAATAGTCTTCTTGCTTCACTTGAACCTTGAAAGAAATCTTTTTTTTCATCACCTATAGTATTGAACAAATTAATTCAATTGATTCTTTATTTAAGCAAGTATCAGATTGGAATATCTTAAGGAAAGCATTTAGATCTTAGCTTTTTTTATTAAAGCTTTGTTACTACTTGAGAAACTTAAGTAAGAAATAGAAGTTTGCAATCCATATTACTTATCACATGATCTTTTGATATTATAGAAGTCGTCATTAAGAGACTTAAGCTTTTTGAGACAAATATTTCTGATACATTCTTTTCAATTACCAGTATTATCATCAAAACATATGAGTGTGACTAATAGGAGCTTGTTTACATTTCAAAAATTAATATGTTTTATGTTAGCCAATTACCTTTTATAAGAATTTGTGCTACCCAAAATTCAGGGTCAAATTGAGGTAGGCAAAATTTTCCAAAAAACCATGAAAGTGAAAGCTTTAAGAAAGCTAGAACAGTTTAAAAGAGAGAAAGTAAGCCTTTTAACTGCAATAAAATCTTGATAAATCTCTTGTTTTAAAGGTTAAAAGGGTCTTCAAATACTTTACAATTAGTTCTTTTTCCTTTAAAAACTTTCTTGTCATTGATATCAAAGGTATTACTTGACTTTTTTTGATCATTGAAAATCAAGTTTTTGGATAAAGAGACTTGTAAATAATAGGGGAAAGGTAGAGATAATTATTAAAGTCAGACTTTAATTTGTTTTATAGAAAGTATTAAGATATTATTAGCAAAGAAGTAAAAAAAACTTCTTGCAAATATCTTTTTTGTGTGTGGTCAGAAAATTAGTAAAAAGAGTTTATTTTTATATAATTTTAGATTATCTGTTTATAATAATTATTTCCTGTCTTTTATATAGACTTTTGTTTTTATAAAGATTATATTTGTAATACAGTATATTAGTCTATATTATTCAATATTAAAAATAGTCAGTTTATTAGATTATTCAAAAATATGTATATTTTTTCTATTCTTAAGCTTTTAAACTTGTTTAATTAAAACAATGGTTTAATTTTAAATAAAGATTATATAAATATTTATTTTGATAAATCTAATTAATATTTTATGTAGTTAATAATAAAATCATAACTAAGTTAATATGATATAAAATTAGTATTATTTTGAAAAATCTTGATCTTTTCCATTGTGTTTAATGAAAAATCTATTTTAATTTCTTTATAGATTTTTCTTTTCAATTGAAACAATGATTTTTCAATTTGAATTTTATAATTAGTTCTATTTTAATTTTTTAAATAAGTTTTTAAACAAATCTTATTTTTTTATAATTTGCATAAAAATTTGCTTAATTATTTGAAAATTTGATTTTTTCTATTATCAAAAATATTTGAACTAATTGTATTATAAACTTTAGCTATATTTGAAAAAAAATTCATGGTTTCTTTTTTTTTTTCTGAATTTTTCATAGATACTAATTAAAAGATAAATAGATTTAGTTATATTTTTATTTTATAAGTTAACAAAATTAGATTTTTATAAAATATAGTGATTCTTATATACTGTATTATTGTTAAATACTTGGTTATTATATTAATAAATTATTTTTTTGTTGTTTCTAATAAAACAATAGATTAAGTATTACTTAGATTATATAAGTTTTTATATATTGTTATTAAATCTAATTTGATTCATATTTAATTCTATTTCATATAAATATTTAAAAAAAAAACCTATCCTTGGTTATCCGATATAGTAACTAAATATAAAATTTAGATATAAATAACTTTTGAATTGGATTTTTATTTAGGCATATCAAAATTACATGTGCAGTATATACATATATATGTTTTTAATAAATAGCATAAATAAAATAATTTTATTGTTAATATACGTAAAAGGAATTTTTTTTACCGCCGCCGAAATCCTCCAATAAACCTTTTCCGGATAGAGTGAGGCAACGGACAAAAGTCAATGATTTACTCTCAACACTAATGAGGCAAGCGTGTATCTCCTTGGAATTTCATTACAGCGTTTCACCGACAACATCAGTTAAAAAACGTGCAAAATTAGTTTTACAATTCCCAATATGGTCTATTAGTAAGATAACCCAGCCGTGAAAATTAACCTTGGGACGCAATTTACATTTCTGCACGTTTCTTTGAGAATAATTCAACTATATTGAAGTTTACTATTGTGAATTCTATTATATACTGTAAAGCAATTGATTGGTTAAAATGTTTAATAAATATATAAATTCTATCCATCGAAATAATTTGCGTATGGTACTTGATACTGCGGGATGGGACAAGTACGTTAAGTATGTTCATTGTTTAGTTTTTGCGGAATAATTAGACTAAGCTTAATCTATTAGATGCGGTAACTATTACAGTAGTAACTTTAACGTGGGGAATTAGATCGACAGACTTTTAAATGCATTTTTCGTTTTGCTTCGACGAGTCTGTTTGACAACAATAAAGTACTGCCATGCAATCTGTATGGGTTGAAGGTATTATTATGTGCGAGAGTGCTTGTCTCTTAATTTTTTCTATGGGCGATTAAAAGGCTGACCAAAAGATTACCAAAAGTAGCGTGTTGCCAGGCATTGTTGATGAATTCTATAATAAATACGTAGTAAACAGTAGAACTTGCTATATTTATTTCTCATGCATTGATGAATTTCCCAACATACTGTGCGCTGCATATTATATTGAAGAATCATTTTGTTTTTGTTTTTGTTTTTTTAAACCAATTTTTCGCAATCATGAAAACCATAAATCCTTTTGATCAGCATCCGAACGATTACGAATTTTGTAACTTAATCAACAATGACATTTTATCAAAAGGCTTGACCGTGTATGCTTGATAATTTTATTACCGTAAGCAAATGGTATGAACGGAAGTCGTCAACATCTATTGTTGATAAATATCGGAAATATGCTCGACCCGGTAAACAAATTTGTTTTGTTTTTACAAAATCATTTATCTAAAAAAAAAAAAAAAAAAAAAAAATTATCAGGAAGAATGTCCGTTCTCAAAACGACGAAAAATTGTTGATAAGAATTCATATTCTTGAACGAATTAATGAATGGATGGAACAAATGTTTCGTTGTTAATGGAACACGAATAGAATTTCACGTGTAATGCTATGTACGAAGGAGTTTTAATGCAATTCCCACGTATCCATCGAGGAAGATAATGACAATTTAGTTCTAATATTAAACCAGACAGTAAGGTCTTCACTCATATAAGAGAAGACATAATTCTGATGTAATGTAGCAAGGTACAGTACCTGATTCTGTATTACATAAAAATCAAACAATCATATACAAAAATTTCAACTTTAATTTCAGTCATTCAAGAATAGATGTAAAACAATGGAATTTACCTAACTTTTGATCTAATGAAAAAATAAGCAGGTGTTGAAACAGAGAAGCAGTAATTTTAAAGGAAGGAATTTATCGAGATGTGGAATGAATAAATAAACCACCTCAATGTAAATTCGCTTTCTTTCCCTGGCAACCTCTCGGTTTTCCAAAACAACGTAACTTCCTTTGCACAATACTATGTAAGTTAAGTGATTATATGAAATTGGTCCGGATCGATTTCTCGTACTGAAAAAAGAACAATGCTGTTTTTAAGAGAGAAAGTAATTTATTGCAATTAGAAGTGGTAAATATAACCAACAATGCCGCGAATTGGATTCTGCGAGACAATCAATACAATAACCATCACCAAAATTCCTCGTTTTCTCCAATCCCATAGATTGTTCCAACGCGTTTTTCTGGATGTTTAAGTTTTATTATATTTTATTATGCACAGAATTATATCTCGTAGTAGCAGAAACAACATGCTGGGCGGTTTCAGATTACGTAATTCTTCCAGGTCATCTATTGCAAAAAAAAAAAAAAAAAAAAGCATATAAACGCTAGATTCACCTTATCTCTGTGCTGAAAAACTTAGTTCTAAAGTCACATCAACAACATACTGCATTTCTATTCCGAAAAACGTTTCTTAATTGAATTCGGCTAACGTATCACCTTATTTTTTTTTTCTTCCTTTCAAAAAAATAATACATCCAGTCATGCCTCAAATTAAACAGCCGAGGGACCTTCAAACTCGTTATCCAAAGAACCCCGGTAATGGACGAGTCCTTAATAATAGTAATGTCGTCCACGCAACATTAGACGCACGAGGTGAAAGGTTAAAAGTGGTGGTCAGATTAAATGATGGTGTCGAGGTTGATTTCCCGGTGCCAACTTCAAAGGAAATTCGTGATAGATTTTTCTACAAAAAGGCCAAATCTTCTGATAAACCAGCCAGACCACCAAATAAATTCTTCATTTTTCGTACAATGTTTCAAGGTGCTGTTGACGCTTTTAAACTTCAAGTTCCCATCGTCTCTGGGATCGCTAGCGAAGTATGGAAGAAATCAAGTCCTGAAGTCAGAGAAGTTTTTACGAGGCTCTCACAAATCGCCAAAACGGAACATGGTGAAATCAATCCAGGTTATGTTTACAAACCCCATAGGAAACAGCTGAAAGATGTGTCTTCCGCCGATAATGACGTGGACTCTACGCGAGAAAGGCCCGATGGTGAATCAACCACTTCTTCGCCCTGTCTCTCCTCAAGTACTCCATCATCACCATGCACTCCTACTATGCCATTATGGTCAGCTTCCTCGGAAAACGCTTTGTCTGCATGTTCGGCAAAAAACAATGAATCTTATATTTCGTCCAATTTATCTTTGCAATCAATATCTTCGAATTTCCACTCCTCTAGTCCGCATAATGATTCGTATCCGGCGGCGTTGTATCCGCAACACCAACTCACCATCAATCTCTCTTACGGCGATCCTACCTACATTCATCACCATCATCATCACCAAATAAACGCGATGCATTTTATCACTCAACCAGACTCGTATCAATATTATCAATACCCGATTGCACCATATCCCCTAGTAAATTCAACGAACGACGAGACTCCAGTCAATCAGCAATCATACAGTTCCTACAGATCTCAAAAACTTATTTCTTACGGAAGTAACAACGAAGGTGACTCGCATCACCCGATAACATATTACCCATCTGTGGGTCAAGATTCTCCTCCCCATTTCGCCACGAACTTCACTGATATGATCAACGAAGCGGCATTGATTTCAACGAGTGAAGGTGGCGACGATAAAACTTTGTTGCAGGATTCAACACAAACGTGTTCTCCATCTGTCGTCATCGGTGGTTATGATCGCAATCACTCGCAAAGAATTTTATCTTCCAAACATTCACTATTATGACCATGCCTCACACGTTAAGACGACGACTAAGGTTTTTATTATGTATATCTTATTTATCAATTCATTCATATTTTAAGGTTAAATTTATTCTATTCATATCGATATGATGTTAACCGTATTTAAAGTCCAGTATATTTATTTATAGAAAAATAAAAAAATATAACTAACATACGTGCGTATGGAGTGAGTGTGTATACATGTTTGATAGTCTCGGGTCAAAAAAAAAACTTTCTTTTTTCAATGCCATTCGATACGTGGGGAATTTACACTTAAAAAAATTAAAAAATTTTTTAATTATTAAAATTATTTAAAAAAATAGTTTAAAAAATGTTTTTTAATATTTAATATTTAGTAGAATAGTCACATACTTTTATTGTAGCTTTTATTTGATTTTCTATACTATCTATTAAACTTTGATATACTTTGTATAAAATTTATAACCAATATTCTTTTTTATATATCATTTAAGCTTATTCTAAAATACTTAATTGAATTTAAATTAGAATTTTATATCGAACATGCAAAAAAGAATTTTTTTTTTTTTTTTTTTTTTGTTTTTAAAACCATGACTGGTATTAGATGCGGGACCTTTATTAACATATAGTTATCATTATCTACATCAATCATCTCATATATCCTATATACAGTGTGTTAAAAAAGTTTTTGGACAATTACCAACAAAATTAAAAGTTATACAACTTAT